ACAACAACAACAACAACAACGACAACGACGACAACAACAATTTTTTACCAGAACAATTGAAAAATATTTCAAGAAAATGTAATATTTTAAGTGATAATGATAAATGTAAAAGTTGGAATTACTAATAGAATATCATCGATTGCTCATTTTTTTTTCTTTTCTCTTACATAACACATCTCTTAATTTTTATTTAATTTCAAGTTTTGAAGAAAAGAAAAAAAAGAAAACTATGATATGAATATTTATGTTTAATTAGTAAATCAATTAAAAATTATCAGAAAGAAAAATTTAGAAGTGAAGTAAAAAAAATTCATGCTCTCAATAAATTCTTCCTTTTTTTTTTCTTCACATTATCATTTCTTATCATAATAAGATTTAATCAAAAATTCTTACAGATAACATTTCCATTTACTTTGATTTTTTTTCCTTTTTTTTTTAAACATAAATCTGATTTGTCCATTAAATATTCTCTTAATTGATATCATTTTGTACATATTCATTATCTATAAAATTATGCAAAATTTTGACAATAATTTTGGACGAAGAAAATTTCGTTCAATTTTATTAAATTAAATGATTAAAATGAATGAAGGATAATGATAAGACTGAATAGATAATAATAATTAAACTAAATAGATAATTAAAGTGAATGAATGATAATGACAAATGATATCACTATTGTATGAATGATATTTGATTTATTCATTTATTTTTCTCCCTTTTTTTCTTTTTCTTATTACAGTACTGCTCAAATAGTAATTTAACAGTAATAATAATAATAATAATAATAATAATAATGATAATAGTAATAATATACTTTCAAACTTGTATTTTTATAGATGATAAGAAAAAAAACTAATATGCAAATTAATTTTACATTCAAATTAATATGATAATTGTATTATAAACATAAAATTATTTTTAATATTTGAATAAATTTTCACATACATTATAAGGACATTTACAACTGAAAAAGAAAAAGTGAAATATTTATCAAATAATTAGTTCTCAAACATATACACATAAATACTTGAGGAAAAAAAATCCAATGAATTTTGATCAAAGATAATTCGCAAAGAAAAAAATTAATATTTATCGTTTATCATAAATAATAAATAAAAAAGACAAAGTGATAAAAAAGTGGCGTTTTTGATAAAATGGTGATAAAACGGTGCTTTTAATAAAATAGCGAAAAAATGGCGTTTTTGATAAAATGCTGATAAAACGGTCCTTCTGATAAAACAGTGATAAAATAGTGACAAAATGGTGTTTTTGATAAAACAGTGATAAAATGAGACTTTTGATAAAATAGTAATAAAATGGCCCTTTTGACAAAATAGTGGTAAAATGGTACTTTTGATAAAATAGTGATAAAATAGTACTTTTAATAAAATAGTGCTTTTGATAAAAAAAAAAAGGAAGAAAGGGAGGATTAGTATATCAAATGAAAAAAAAAGGTATCAAAATAGATATATCATAGAAGTTATTATTCAAATTTACCTGAAATCATTGTATAATAAGTTAATCTCTTTGTAGTTAATAGTTAATCTCTTTTTTATAATTTTATAATTCAGAAAGATTAATTTGAAAAAAATAATGCCAATTTTAAAAAATTTTATGAATTAAAACTCAAAATAGACACTTTCCATTTTACCTAATTCCGTCCAATAATTCAAATTGAAAATTAATTATCACAAACATTTTTTTTCTATTAAAATAAATTCATTGAGGAAGAAAAGAAGAAAAAGAGAGGGACAAAGAGAGAGAGAGAGAGAGAGAGAGATAAAATGGAACTGCTGTTTCTCTTAAATAGGTTGGCATAATTCTTCTGCACTATTACAACAAAATTTTTTTTTTCGAAGATAGAATGAAAAAGAGTAAAAGGATATTAACACTGATAATTCATATGATAATCAGTTAAAGGATGGATACAAAAATGACTGGGACAATGAAAAGAATATCAAAATAATGGCGCAAAAAGCTATCAATCTACTTGATGAATATTTATTTATCTTGGATGAGAAGAGTTTCTGATGTCAACGAAATATGAAGCATTCAATGATAGCGAGATCAATTTAGTGACGATGACATTTGTGATAAAAGGATGAAAAGGTTTGCCAACAAATACTACGACCAATTTATCCATCATATTTGTCGAAATTTATCACTACAACCAATTTACCTCTCAAGTTTGTCACTACAGCCACTTTATCCTACATTTGTCAAAAAGTAGTATAACCGATTTACCCGCCAAGTTTGTCGAAAAATACTATAAGCAATTCACCGGTCAAGTTTGTCGAAAAATAGTACTACCAATTTATCCGTCAAGTTTATCAAAAATGCTACAACTAATTTACTCGCCAATATAATCACATCCATTAATTATGCGTATATATAAAAATATACCATAAGCTATATCGTAATCCAATCGGATCGATAATAATTAGTAATTCATTTTTGTAAAGAAAAGTTATTTTTTTTTTTGTTAAAAAACAAAAAGTATAAAGTATTAATTATGTATGTAATATTTTAAAAAACATTAACAATTTATGAGCTATTATTTTAAAATTAAGAAAGGAAAGGAAATATAGAAGGGTGGTGAATGTTTTGTTTTCCCTCCTTTTTTTTTCTTTTTTTTCAATCTGCAAAATATCATTTAGAATGATTAGATGATATGAATAAAGAATGTAACTTCTGAGTTTTGTTAGATTATAGTATTTCATAGATTACAACAAGTTCAGAAACGATGAAATCCTCTCAGGCAAATTATTGCAATCATTTTATGCTTATCAAAATATATATATTTATTTACAGATCATAAATTATCTTTACATTCTTTAAGCTTGAAAACCTATACCTATAAATTCTAGAATTCTGTATAAACTTCATTGAAAAAAAAAAAAACC